CCAAAGGTCCCAGGGAGACGTGCTCCCTAGGGGAAATTTAGTTTGGGGGCTTCCCAAAGGTTGTCTTTGTGATTAAGTTTTACAAGTCATCCTTGACTTACTAGGTGAGATGCATGCAACCAAGCAGAAATAATTTGGAACTTGACATGTTCTTGTTCGTGCCATACAAAATGTATAGGCTGTCTTTTCTCCTTGAAAAGAGCTAGATGTCTTTAATGAAAGGTGGAACAGCAGCTGGTCATGGAGAATATTCTAAAACCCCAGTTAGCCAGAGTGTTCAAGGTCTCTCTCCTCACCCTCCTCAGAAATACTCTATGGACTATGGAGTAAAAGCCAAAGTTTTCATTTAAGACTTTAAATAGTCCTGCCCAACTTTTCTTTTGTTTGTTTTGTCTTTTTAATTTTTTTAAGTTAGGTCTGTGTGTCCAGAGCTGTCCTGGAACTCTCATTGTGGCTGAGCCTTATAGTCCTTTTTCTGTGTGACACTACCCACGGCTCAAACGCCATCCTCCCGGTACGAGGACTCAAATTCAGGTCTTCTGCCTATGAGCACTCTTTCTCATTGTTTTATTTTTTTATTTCTAAAGATTTATTTTTATTTTATATAATGAACATTTGATCTGAATGTATGAAGGCATGTGTATATATGTGTTTACCATGGTTTGTCAGAAGAGGGCATTGGATCCCTTAGAACTAGAGTTAATGACAGTTGTGAGCTACCACATAGACATGGGGAACTGAGCCCAGGTCCTTTGGAAGAGCATCCAGAGTGCTGAGCCATCTCTTCAGTACTCAGCCTAAGTGGGCTGAGTACTCCTAAATCCCTTGCCTTGCCCCTCCTCCCTCATTTTGCAGTTGGGGAACCTCTTCTCACGCTGCTTACGTAGTGGGTGTCCGCTATTAAAATTGGGTTGCCAAGCTGGGTGGTGGTGGCACATGCCTTTAATCCCAGCACTCTGGAGGCGTAGGCAGGCTGATCTCTGTGAGTTCAAGGCCAACCTAGTCTACAAGAGTTAGTTACAGGACAGGCACCAAAGCACCAAAGTTTTGTCTTGAAAAAACAAAACAAAACAAAAAAATTAGGTTGCCAAGCTTGTATTTTTGCCTATGGAGCCATCTTACTGGCCTCTGAGTCAGATGTCTCCCTGCTCTTCCTGGTTTTTTGTTTGTTTTTAATTTGATTTATTTTCACCAGTGCCTGTTTTTCATGTAAATTCCTTCTGATTGTTTGGTTTTGTTGCTGTCAATGATGTTAGAATCTCCTTTAAAATGTTCAGCATTAGGGCAGACAGGAGGATTACCTGGGCTTTATAACACACCCCTTTCACACACACCAGTTTAATGTTTTATGTTTTAGTGTTAGTTCTTAAGCTGATTGGTGAGTAATTAACCACGGGTTGGAGAAATAGTTAAGTTGGTAAAGAGCTTCCCCTGGAAGCACAAAGACCTGAGTTTGAGTTCTAGGAGTTTGAGTTCTAGGATGCCTGCAAGCAAAAAAGCTGGCTGTAGTGGGACACTTTTAATCCCAGGACTGATGAGGTAGAAAGTAGGCAGATCCCTGGGATTCCTGGCCACTCAGCTTGTCTACTTAGTGTGTCCTTGAGTTGTAAGCCTGAGAACCTGTCTCCAAAAAAGTACTACAATCAAGATTGTTCTCTGTCCTCCACCACTCACACATAGGTCATTGCGCGCGCGCGTGCGCGCGCGCGCACACACACACACACACCACAAAATAATACATATAAAAATTTTTAAAGAGGCACACCCCCCCAAAAAAAAGCAGTGCCAGGGATCAAACCCCGGAAATTTAAATTTCTGACTATTTGGGGCTGGAGAGATGGCTCAGTGCAATGCTGTTCTAGTCCGGGGTAGTAAATTTGATTACCAGCTTCCATTTCCTGTGCCTCCTGCTCCAGGGTATCCAACATCTCTGACTTCTGAGGGCTCCAGTACACACACCCACACACAGGCCCTTACACATAACTAAAAGAAAAATATTTGTTTGAGCTGGTTGGTGGTGGTGTCACACGCCTTTAATACCAACACTCGGGAGGCAGAGGCTGGTGTATCTCTGAGTTCGAGGCCAAGGCTAGCCTGGTCTACAGAGCGAGTTCCAAGACAGCTGGGGCTATGCAGAGAAACACTGTCTTGAAAAACAAAAGCGACAAAAATTTGTTCATCTACTCTCCAGTTTATCATTTTTTTAATTGATATCTTTTGTTTTGTTTTGTTTTTCTGTAGGCTTGTGGAATTTTTTTATTCCTGTGGTCACTTTTCTCAAGTTTTCAGAAATGTAGATAACTAAAGTTGGGCAGAAGTTAATTTTCTTTTTTCTCTTTCCATCCCATTCACAAGCTTTATTCTAAATATTTGTACACCTTTTCTTCTTTTCCACTCTCCTTCTTGAACATTCTCTCCTTCTGGAAGGTCGACTCTTCTTACTTCAGATGCTTAAATCCTTGGCAATGTTCCAGGCCTATCCTCACATGCAGAACCTTTTCTGATTTTTCCAGCAGGCAATGACTATTTGATTGAATTTCTTCCTTTAAAAATTTATTTATCCATTTTATTATATGTGTGCCTGAGTGTATCTGTGTGTGTGTGTGTGTGTGTGTGTGCACGTGTGGCACGTGCGTGTGGTGACAGCAAAGGCCAGACGAGGGCTTTGGAAACCCTGAAACTGCAGTTGCAGTTGTCAGCCAGTGTGTGTGCTGGGATCTGAATTCTGGTGTTAGCCACTGAGCCACCCCTCCAGCCCTGGACACTGAGCCACCTCTCCAGCCCTGGACACTTAGCCACCTCTCCAGCCCTGGACACTGAGCCACCTCTCCAGCCCTGGACACTGAGCCACCTCTCCAGCCCTGGACACTGAGCCACCTCTCCAGCCCTGGACACTGAGCCACCTCTCCAGCCCCCAGTTACTGAGTCACCCCTCCAGCCCTGGACACTGAGCCACCCCTCCAATCCTGGACACTGAGTCACCCCTCCAGACCCAGACACTGAGCACTGCTCCATCCCTCAACTAAGTTTCTAAAGCTCCCTACCCGGAGTCCTTGAGTCTTGCCATCAGGACAAAACAAAACACGTGTGTGAAAATTACTTTATATACATGTTATTTTCCTAGTGGATTCCCACTATGGGACCAGCTTTATAATTGTCTTTTTGTTACCAGTAATAGTTAATGTAGTACCTAGAAAGTAAATATTTCACAGAACTGAAGAGTTTTTGAGTTAGAAAAGACTGTAGAGATCCAGAGTGTTGACTTCCTATGAACAAGTAAGTAGATGCAGTGTGGTTGGAAGTCATGCAGTACTAGGCATACACTCGGAACTCTAAGTTCATTCTTGAGTTCTTGACTTGCTAAATATCTACATATGGTCTGGTGTATTACTTAGGCATTCTGAGTTATCAAAGATTAGCCAGACGGTATATTATGTTTAATTCTTACTGAAATTTTTTCGCATATTTTGCCTTTAGTAACTAGGTATACCATAAATAATTCTCTTTTCTCCCTTCTTCCTTTTCTCCCCACTTCCCTCCATGCCTCCCTACTTCTCAACTAGGAATGTGATTATTTTGGGAATATATATATTCCCAAATATATATATGTATATATTTGTATATATATATATATATATATATATATATATATTCCCAATATATATCCAAATATCCAAGCTAGATAAGTCTTCTTGCAAGGCACATGAGCATCTAAGACTAAAGGATTGTATCTGAGGGAAAAAAATTGCTTGTCTACTCGTAGGGCCCAAATTTCAAGGAAACTAAACTAAACAAAACAAAACTATGATATATAACATCTTTGAGATGATTAATTTTGTGTATAATAGTAAAGTATAACTTTCTTGAGTCCTAGTTAAAAACTAAAAAATTTCAGCCAAGTGATATTGGCACACACCTTTAATCTCATTTACTAGGAAGGTAGAGGCAGGTGGATCTCTGTGAGTTTGAGACCAGCCTGGTCTACAAAGGGAGTTCCAGGACAGCCAAGGCTGTTACATAGAGAAACTCTGTCTTCAAAACAAAAACAAAAAACTTAAGACAAATTTGACTGTTCATTAGAGGTATTTTTTTTTTTTATGCGTTGGGGTGCTTTTTCCTGCATGTATGCCTGTACACCATTTGTGTGCCTGCTGTCCGTGGAGGTCAGAAGAGGGCATCAGATCCCGTGGAGCTGGAGTTACAGACAGCTGTGAGCCACTGTGTGGGGATGGAAATCAGAGCCTGGCCCTCTGGGAGAACAGCTTTTGAGTGCTGAGCCATCTCTCCAGCCCCTGGAAATATTTTTGAAGTAAACTGACAAAAGTTTAGCCACAAATTTTCTCACCTGCCCGACAGCTCTTAGAATCTATTCTGAGATTATTGGAGTAAATTCCAGATTTTTGTTTTTAAGAGTCAGAACTTCATATACCCCAGATGGAAGAAAACTGAGCTTCAGCTGTCACCTGAACAGGAAATGTTAAGTGTCCAGATGCCTGTTGCTCACTGACCAGTAATGCAGATGCTCTTCTTTTTCTCAACTATCCTTTGGGCGTTTGAGGTTGGCAGGTAAACACAAGGTCTTCCCTTCCTCTGAAATGACAGATCTGGGCTTTGCCCTCACGCTGTGATCATGGGACTAGCTTGTTGTCTCTACCAGATAAAGCAGTGCATGACCTGTAACCAACTCCCTGGGTTAGCTTGCTTTGCCTCATGCCCATCACTTTTGGTTTTATGCAAATTAGAAACTGTGGCCTCCAGTTTCCAGAGAAAGGCTTTGTAGGTGGAGACTGTTCACAGATAGTTTCCCGACTGCTCAGACTCAAATAGTCACACAGAAACCACATTAATTACAACACAGTTTGGCCTATTAGCTCAGGATCCTTTTTTTATGCATTTTTATTGATATTTATTGAGCTCTACATTTTTCTCTGCTTCCCTCCCTGATTCTCCCCTCCCCACTTCAGTCCTCCCCCAAGATCCCCATGCTCCCAATTTACACAGGGGATCTTGTCTTTTTCTACTTTCTACTTCCCATGTAGCTTAGATCTATGTAAGTCTCTCTTAGTGTCCTTATTGTTGTCTAAGTTTGCTAGCTCAGGATTCTTATTAACTAACTCTTATGTCTTAAATAAACCCGTTTCTATTAATCTGTGTATTGGCATGAGGCTGAGGTTTACTGGGAAGGATCTGGTATCTGTCTCCTTTGGAAACTATTCTGACTCCTCCTACTCTTTCTTTATATATCTCTTCCAGCCTGGCTATATTCTGCCCTGCTATAGGTCAAAGTAGCTTCTTTATTAACCAGTGCAATAAAATACACAGAGGAGAATCCCACATCAGGACTTGTTTTACTAATTGACATTTTTACCTTTTTCTGTTTCTGCACTGCTACCAACTGACACTGGAGTGAATTCACTGTAATTCTAAGCCCTACAGGGGTTGAAATTATTTTATTACTATCTCTAAATAGTCACTATTTAGAGAACTGTCTGTTTTCAGGATGGGCCATGTGTTTTTCTTAAAACTGACACTGTTACCCAGATTTCCTTTTATGACTTGTTCAGTCATGGGCAGCTGGGAGGATACTCTGGGGAAGTATTACTCACCAGGCATGCTGAGTGGCCCTGACTGCAATGAGTTCCCGGGCTCTTCTGAGAGTGTGTCACCACAGCAGTGGAAGGGGGTGCTCAAGAAGGTCAGGGATAGTGACTGCACCTTCTCTGTCTGTTCTTTTTCTTGGAGGACTCATTACAGCCCAGACACTGGCTTCCACTGGCTTTCTGGTGATGCCGTTCCCATGAAAGGACCGTCACTGTTCCTCCTGTGCCGTAGGAACATGTTAAGACAGGCTTGAGCTTGCATGATCAAGGTTCTGTGTATATTTTACTAGAAGAAATGCAACAGACAGTTTAGTCTTCTGTATCTGTCTTTGTCCAGTAGGGGTCACTGGGGGGTTTGGGCTCCAGATGAGACTCACTAAGCCTATGGTAGACCAGATTTCCTGTCTATCAGATGTTATCCCAAGTGCATTGGTGCAGGAATGACACACATTTTATGCATACACATTAGAGCGTTAGCAAAAAAATTGGAGCTTATAGTAAAAACTTTGTGAGCTTACTGAGTGTTTGAAGATCATTTATTCCAGACACCAGGCATTTCTGTTCTATTTAGAGATGAAGTTTTGCTCTGTTGTCTAAGCTGGTCTCCAGAACTCAAGTGAGCCTCCTGCTTCTGCCTTCCAGGTGCTGGGGTTACAGGTGTGCTGGATGTGCCTCTCCAGATGCTTGGTAAAGAATGAAACCAAGGTGGAGAGAAATTGCTTTTGTTTAATTTCAGTTTCTCTTTCTTTCTTTCTTTCTTTCTTTCTTTCTTTCTTTCTTTCTTTCTTTCTTTCTTCCTTCCTTCCTTCCTTCCTTCCTTCCTTCCTTCCTTCCTTCTTTCTTTTCTTTTCTCTTCTTTTCTTTCTTTTTCTTTTTTTGTTATTTTGTTATTTTGCTTGTTTATGTAGCCCTGGATACTGTGGTATTTACTGTGTAGCTGAGGCTGGCCTTGAACTCCTGATTCTTCTTATTTTACCTACCAAGTGCTTGGATTACAGGCTTGTCTCCATGCCTTGCTTTGAGGAGTAGGTCTTTGAGAAATGGAGGAGAATGGACAAAGGAAATGCAGGAATTCTTTAACCTGGGTAGCTACTCTGAGAAAGTTTCTCTCCCCACTGCCCATCTTTCTCTCCCCACTCCCTCCCTTCATCCCTATTATGGACCCAAAGCACAGAATAGTAGGTAGCTTTGTCACGATCCCATAATTATGAATGTACTCATGGGGGAATGCCTATTGAGTATATTTTATGTGGTGTTGATCCTTGAATTCTGGGCAGGGGTAATTAGGTCTGGGTAGGGGTCATTAGGGCAAAGGTGTTATTAACTAGAAGCAGAGCCTGGTGGTAGACTCTAAAGAAAGAATGAAATAGTTCTAATGTGATAGATTGGATTTTTTTTTTTTTTGAGAGAGGGTTTCACTGTAGCCCTGGGTGGTCTGGCACTCACTGTGTAGACCAGGCTGGCCTCTGTCTATTGGGATTAAAGGTGTGTAACAGCATGCCTGGCTTAGATTTGAGTCTTGACCAGGCTTAAGAAGTCAGCAGTTGGAAGGAATCTCACGGGTCTACCTTTGTTTTCATTGACAAATTCTTCCTTTTCATTTAGGGTTATTGCCAGGGTCTGAAAAACTGTTAGGGAACTAAAATTAGCTGTTGTAGGCCAAAGCCTGGTTTCAGTGGATAGTTTGTGTACGTCTCATGGTCAGCTGGGACTTGAACATCTCTACCTACTGTAGATACAGACCTGCCAAGTAATTGTACTACCTTCTTGTGTTAAAGGTATCTCAGGACATCCGAAGTTTATCTTTAATACTTCCCTTTTACAGTAGAGAAAACTAAGGATTACAGAATGTAAGAATTGCTTCAAAGAAACACAACTAGAGATGAATCCAGAACTCAGTGGTGGTGGTGGTGGGAGGGGGCAGCATGCAATGTCTCATATAAGGAGGCTGGCCTCCAACTCAGTATGTAGCTAAGGGCTTTGAACTCTGGATGCCCCCTTCACAGCTTCCTGATTACATACAAGGGCCACCTCCCTCAGTATGAAGCCAGAATTTGGAAGTAGATTTGGTTAACAGATCATATTAAAGTCTTGGTCAGAGGGAAAGAGACAGACAGACAGATTGACTGACTGATAGAGACTGCTTTCCCAGGTCACCCCCACTTCATTTTGTACTCTGTCCCACAGCTTATCATTTCTCTTATCTTTGCCTTTCTTAAGAGCCGCAACTGCTGAACTGGGCAAAGTGTCCAGAGCTATTCCAGGCATAATCCATATCTGGAAAGAATTCCAGAAGTAGAGCTTCTGAATTAATACACCAGTTTCTCCCTCCCCCCCCCCTTCCTCCATCTCTGTAGGAAGAGACCGCTTGTTGGTTCCTAGCCACCCGGCTAGCTTAGACCAGAAATATTCACACAGAAACTGTATTAATTAAATCACTGCTTGGCCCATTAGCTCTAGCTTCTTATTGGCTAACTCTTACATATTAATTTAACCCATTTCTACTAATCTGTGTATCGCCATGTGGCAGTGGCTTACCGGCAAAGTTTCAGCATGTTTGACTCTGGCGGCTCCATAGTGTCTCTCTGACTCTGACTTCTTCCCAGCATTCAGTTCCGTCTTCTCCACCTCCGTAACTATTGACAGGCAAAGGCAGTTTCTTTATTCAACCAATTTTATTTAACCAATAAAAGCAACACACAGACAGAAGGACCTCCCACACCATATCTCTTCCTCTGGAACTCACTTTATAGACTAGGTTGGCCTCAAACTCACAGAGATCCACCTACTTCTACCTCCCGAGTGCTGGGACTAAAGATGTGCCTGGCTTCGTTACAGCTCCAGGAAAGAGGAAAGCTTGCACATGTGTCCTCAGGGTCATCTTTCTCTAAGTTCCCAGGTAGATCTGAAGGTCCATCAGTAGAGGTGGTTTGACTCCTCACTTTGTGCTTATTGCCTGAGGGACCTGACTACTTAGAACTCTTGGAGTTGTCCCTGTGCTGAGGTGAATGGTCCTCTAACTCTGTGAAGTAGGTGTAGTCTCAGAAGGAACTGAAGCTTTCATATTTGGGAATATTCCTGATTTGTTGGTCTCAGTTTTACTCTTTTGAGTTTGTTTCCCCTTATGTACCCCCTTCCTTCCCTCCGTCTGTCACTCTCTCCCTTCCTTCCATGGTACTAAGTCAAATTCAGGGTCTTGAGCATGCTAGGTAAGTGTTCTACCACTGAGCTCTTACATAGTAAGTGTTCTATCACCTAACTCTTATATAGCACTTTTTAGACCCTTTTGTTCAATATCTATTTGCTCACTCCACAAATATCCAGTTATTAAGATTTTATGAAAAACATACAGGCATTTGTTGTCTATTTTACTCTTTGGGGGGTCTGCCACCCAACTTCCAAGTAAATCATACTCCAAGACTTATTCTTAGTTATGAATGCCCAGCCTTAGTTTGACTTGTTTCTTGCCCATTTTTCCCAATTTAAATTATTCCATCTATGCAGGGCAGTGGTGGTGCTGGCCTTTATTCCCAACACTTGGGAGGTAGAGGCAGGTGGATCTCTGTGAGTTTGAGACCAGCCTGGTCTACAAAGGGAGTTTCAGAATAACCAGAACTGTTACACAGAGAAACACTGTCTCAAGGAAAAACAAAACAAACAAAAATCCCATCAGTCTTTGGCCTTGGGGCTTTTATCTTTCTCTATTCCTGGCTACCTTTCCTTCTTACTCTGTGTCTGGCCCCTGATATCTTCCTCCTCTTGTTTCTCTTTTTATTTATTCTATCTGCCTGCCAGCCCCGCCTATCCTTGCTCTTGCCTTGCTATTGTTCATTAGACCATCAAGCTTTTAGACAGGCAAAGAATTACAGCTTCAAAGACTTAAACAAATGCAACATACACAAAAGTCACACACCTGAAAATATTCCCCAACAGGCATTCATCTAGCTTCAACAAAATCAAGGGGGATGAAAAGATGACTCATTGATTAGGAGTACTTGCTGTCCTTGCAGAGGACCCAGTACTCACGTGGCAACTCACAGCTATCTGTAAGTCTAGTTTGAGCGGATCTGCTGCCCCCTTCTGGCTTTTTTGGGCCCTAAGCATATGGTATACATGTATACATTCAGGCAAACACTCATACACCTTTAAAAATAACTTAAAGCAATCTAGTGAGGGATTAAAAGAATGTGTTCAACTGCATTATAAAGTCCTAAACATCATGGAAGACAGATGAAATATAAAATAATAAAGGAAGAGGAGCCGGGGAAATTCTGTAGATATACTGGTCTTGATGATTACTAGAAATCTGATTCGTGTTCAGTGATTGACCGGAGAAATAGCACAATGCAAATGTGAAGAATATTGTAAAGCCAGGCAGTTTGGGGCTTAAATTCCTGGCAGGAAGAAACCAGAAACTTTAGAAAACATTACTAATTAAGTGTGGCTGGAGAGATGGCTTAGTGGTTAAGAGAACTTGCAGTACCCACATGATGGCTGACAACCATCTTGGCCAGCAGTAATTCCAGTCCAGAGACTCCAGTGCCCCCTTCTGGCCTCTATAGGCATTGCATGCACGTAGTGCACAGCATGCATTCAGACTTAAAACACTCAACAATGTAAAATCAAAATAAATAAATATTTAAAAATTGCAAATAAGGAATGGAATATTTAAGATGTACTAGTCATTTTTTATGTACCAAAGAGATTAATCTTGTAGTGACTAAGGTCAGGATTGGAAGGAGAGAGACTGGAATTAGGTAGGTTAGGTGAGGTTGTTGAGATGATGAGATCAGATACCAGTTTGCCAAAGTTTTGTGCAGTCTGAGCAATGACAATAATGACCATTAATTATTGGATATGTCAAGCACCTTGAGTGCATTAAGTCATTTAATCCTCACATAACTTTATTAAGACATGTTCTGTTATCATCATTTTCAGATAAAGAAGTAGAGGTTTCCTTAAGTTGAATAAATTACCCACAGGCACTAAATGCTTTATAGCTGATAATCTAGATGTGAAACAGGCCCATTTGGCTATGAGAATGCTAATGTCTCAGGTTTGCCGAGTAAGAAACAGGAAATTTTTGCTATTTTATTATGTCCAATGAATGCTTGAATATGTGGAATATTTGTAGATGTTCTAGGCCTTGGTGTTGTTTAGCATTGTCTCAGTATCACGGAGATGGTCATGGATGTCTCCTAATTCACTTGTGTGAAGATCACATCCTCTGCCCTTTGACAGTTAGATGCCAAGTACTCACAGGAGAATGTAGGCCACAAGAGTTTCCGGGCTACACCTTGATGTCTGGATCCTGACAGTTCCAGAAACCTAAGGTTTCTAGTTCTCTCTATAATACGCCTTTCTTCTACTAAGTTTATTCCTGCAGGTATATTTGGGTGTGGATGTGTGCTTTGGTGGTTTAGGGCCCTGTCCTTTTGCTGTTAGGTAGGAACATTCTGGGTGCTAAACATGACATTTAGTGACTTGTTCTGTGTATAGTGAATGATATCTAAAAAGAAAACTAGCCTCTCCCTTCTGCCAGCCTCTAACCACTTCCTGTAAGTGACGGAGCACAGATCTCTCATTTTCACTAAGTGATATATCTATTTTATTTTCTCAAAGGCGGTTCCCCTTTTGCCTTCACAAAAATATACACATATATGCTTGGGAAAGCTGCAGACTGGAGGATTCTACCTGTTGTGTGCAGAGATGTCATGTATCTAAGGTAGACCATATCCTTCCCAGGGATAGCATAGAGATGAAATGAAATAACATATGGAGGTTTTTGATGTGTTGTTTTGTGTTTGAGACAGAGTCTCAATGTATATCCCTGACTGGCCTAAACTCACTGTGTAGGCCAGACTAATCTTGAATTCACAGAGATCTGCCTGCCTGTGCTGGGATTAAAGGTGTGCGCCACCACCCCTGACCCTGAAGCAGCTTTATAGTGGCTGCATAATAAATGTTAGTTTTCCTTCCAAGCAAATCCATTTATGGACACCATAGCTGAGGAGTTTCTCTGCTTGCTTCCCCACTGTGGGGAAGCAGCTATCTTTGTATCCAGGGCATCTTTATTTAAGGCTGTGTTTTTTTTATTGAGTGAATGAAGCTCTGTGAACCCCTACTTCTTAATTGAATGAAGTGCTCTGTTTTAGAGAAAAAGGGAGCACAACTCAGTTTCACGGTACTGTGCCATTGATTTGTATTCTTCAATGTTTATTTCTAACAAACACTGTTATGTTCATTACCTCGCACATGCTAAGAAGAGTTCTTTTTTGCTAACACGTCTCTCTTACTGCAAGACTCCTTGACAGAGTTGTCGTCACTTGTCACGGATTCTTCTCCTTCCATCTGTTCTTGGTTTACTCTGATTGGGCATTTTCTCTACTTTATCAATACTTCCCTTATGAAGAACTTAGTGACCTCCACCAGGGGACAGTCAATCTCAGTCCTCACCTGCTCCTGGGACAGCATGCCCTTTGGTCTCCACTTCTGATGCTGTTTTATTCTTTCACATCTCAGGCTGGAGGTTTTCTAGGGCTTAACCCTTGCTCTTGATCTTTTCCCTCTTCATGTTTACTCTGTAAATGACATCGTAAAGTCTCCTGGGTTTGAAGACCAAGTGTGAGCATATCTGAACTCTAGAATAGTGTGCTCCATTGTTTGTTCAATGTTCTATTTCAACATCTAGTTGGCATTTCAAAACTACAATCCAAAAGGCCATTTTTTTACACATTTGCCTCCCATACAGTGAACAGCCAGTCACAGCTACCTGCCAACCCTGGAGCCTCTGCTTCCCAGACAGCCTTCAGCTTCTCAGCCAAGACCCTGGTCTTTTCTCCCTCTCCCACCATTCCCTCCTTTCTTTTTTGTCAACAAACCCTGACAGCTGAAATTCTTATTTATTTTATTTGTTTTGCCTGTATGTTCATCTGTATCATGTACATGTCTGGTGCCTTCGTGTTAGAAGGCGTTGATTCCCCGAAACTGAAATTACAGGTGGTTGTGAGCCATCATGTAGGTGCTGGGAACTGAACCCTAGGTCTCTGCAGGAGCAGTCAGTGTTCTTAACCACTGATTCATCTTTCTAGTTCAGCTCTTTAAAAATTATTTTATTATTTTCTCACATGTATATGTGTGTGTGCCACATGTGTACAGTGCCCATGGAAACTAGAAGAGGGCATCTGATTTCCTTGGAGCTAGAGTTCTGGTGGTTATGAACCACCAGATGGGGATACTGGGAACCACATTTGCAAGAGCAGTACACTCTCATAAGCACTGGGCCATCTATCCAGCCCTGCAGCCCTGCTCTTCCTTACAGGCAGAAGCACCACATTAGGTGGTGAAATACAGAGGCGCACACAATTGTAGATGATGCTGGATTTAAAAGCTCCTATTGTATTCAGTCCTCCATCAAAACACGTTGTCATCTTGGGCAATAGATTAAAATCTTTCCCTTTTACCAGGGAAATAATAGAGCAACAGATATGTAAAGCAGCCCCTACCATTTTTTTTTTTTTTAAAGTAAATAGGATCTCACTCCGTAGTCCATGCTGACGGCAAACTCCTGATCCTTCTGCCTTGGTGTTCTGTGTACTGACTACATAACAGCTGGTGATAGGTCTTTTGTTGTTTCTCCTCAGCCCCCAAAACTTGTAGAGCAGTTTGCTCCGCTGGATGCCCAGTCCTCGGGTCTGTCTGTCAGCTGGGGTCTGTGTGCATCCTCCTTCCTGTGCTCTTGTCTAAAGTTGTTGTCTGTCTGTGCCAAGGCTCTCGTGTCCTTTGCCTCCTCCCTGCGGGAGTTTCTCTAGTGCTTCTGTGACTCTTTCCTTCTGCCTGCATCCTGAAGTTTGGCATTCCAACCAGGCGGGGAATGGAAAGTTCAGAGTGTGACGTCCTCTGGTCCTACACCCTCCCTTCTTGTAGAAGGGTCTGAGGTTTGTTTAAGCTGGCCAGAGGATGCCAAACATAGAGGTTTGAGTCAGCTTGACATTGACTTAGCCCTCCTTTTTACTTTTCTTCCTCCTTTCTTTTCCCCTCCCCCGCTGACCAGTTGTTTCCTGGCCTTTGTCTGAGACTCACTGTGCAGTTTTAGTCCCAGTCTGCCGCCGTTTGCTGAAAACAGGCAGAGGCGAGATGGAAGAAGCTGCCAGAAGTTTCTTACTACGTTAAACCCAGGCATCTGCCTCTGCCGCTGAGCTGATAGTGAGGAACAGCAGTAACCTCAGGAGAAAGGCATCCAGGGTCAGCACTGGGCTCTGCCTGTGGCTAGCAAGAGGAGAAACACAGTCCTGGAAATGCCTCTTTTAGATTCATCTTATTTGCCGCCAACCATCTTTATTTTGACTCACATTCTTGGAATTGCTGGTGTTCTGTATTGGAAGAGATGTGTCAGAGACAGAGCAGGTAACTTAGCGGTGCCTCCCTTCTTTAATCTTCAACGGGGCTCTGAGGGTGCGGTGGATGCCGGAGGTCTTCCTGCTCACTTGTTTTTCTTAAAGGGCCAGTGCACCCTTCTGCCGGTGTGCTGTGGGGGGTTGGGGCAGGGAGGGAGAGACAGACAGAAAGAGAGATGCATGTGCGCATCACACACACACACACACACACACACACACACACACACACACACAGAGTAGGGGGGGGGGGCGGGGGAGAACATCAACCTAGGAAATGGCTGTTCTGGATCATCCGGGATCCAGACTCCTCCTTCCTGTTCTGTGACACTGACCGAGGTTGCTGGACTCACAGCTGAAGGGAAGTGAGCACTATTCTAACATGTGTCCTGCTTCAGAGGATCAAGTCCTTTCTTACTTTGTGTTCTCAGTCTCCAAGTGGAGTTTTGGAGGCCTGTCACCATCCTCTGAAGTATGGGATTGGTGTATTTAAGACAGAGGAGGGTCAGGAGGGTCAGTACAAGAAAGGGTTTCGTGGTATCTTTCCCGAGATACAGTCTGTGTTGTTCTTTGATGGAGTTGATGCTGTTCCTTCTGGGGCACTTCACAGTCTAGCTATGCCTAAGCCATAAATGTTAGGAAGCTTGTGCTTGTTTTCCCCAGGAAATCAGGCTCTGATAATTATGGCACTAGAACTCTCTCTTGCTGTTATATTATACATTGATTTCTAACTGCCACCTGTACAGCTGATTCTGAGATGCTATAGATGAGCATTAGAAAGCTTAATTGTCCTGGAGTATATACCCTTGGACCTTGGTGCTTTTAATATTGTCCCTGTTACCAGCTCACTACCTTCATGCTAGACTATTTAGATACTTGTTACTGGTCTCTTATAAGCTAAGATGGGGACTTGGTGACCTATTACTTATCTTTCTATTAAAAGTTCATGAATGCCTGACGGAATTAGAATTAGATGCAGTCATTGCCCAGCGTCCTTTCCAGTAACTCCCAGAAAAGCTGTTGGCTAAGTATTCAGGTTCAGTATGTGGCTCTATCAGCAGAAACAGAGACATTTACAATTATGTGTACTTGTATGGTGCTGTGTTTAAGGGGTACCCCAAAGTGACATTCCTGTATTTGAGCTTAGAAAGAGATGGGTGGTGGAGTCCCTTTGCACACACCTGCAATTCTAGAACTGAGAAAGCTAAGGCTGGAAGATCTTGAGGTCAAGAGCAGCCTATTACATAGGGAGATTTTGTCTCAAAACAACCACAGAGGCAGGATTTGCTTAGTATGAGCCCCCTGGGTTCAGTTCCCAACACTGCAAAAAAGAAAAGGGTGGGCAATGTTTGAACCTGTGATTTATCATTTATAAAAAGAAAATAATGTTTAGATGGAGTCTGCTGTTTTCCCTTCTAGTGCATTATGGTAACGAGATTGGCTAATGGCTTTAAAGTTTATCTTTAGTATAGGATGTTCTATGGAATTTAAGAGCCATCGAATCCTTTTTAAGTACTTTCATTTTTATGTTTTAAAATATTAACTTCACTAGCAACAATAAAGTACATAGAAATTAAAAGAAGATAAATGCCTTCTAAAGCCTTTTATTAGTGAAATGGCTTTGGCCCTAATACCTATATTGGGGGTGCACTGTGTTTGATTTATCCTTAAAATTAGATGATGGTGACTTTTTAGTTGGAAACAGTGGATACCAAATCATACATGGAAGTACTTAGGGGATTCTGAACCATTTTTATTATCATTTCAATTTTAGTGTGTATTTTGTCTGTTGAAGTGGTTTTTGGAAATAATGCGTACACTCTAATTAGTAGTTGCCAAATGAACATAACCAGACTAAGATTTCTTTACCATCCCTGTATATTTGTATTGCTCATAAATTGTGTGTGTGTGTGTATAATGATAAACAGGAAAATTCTTGTTTTCTGTCTCTGGTTGAGATTTTAAAACCCTCCTGCTTCAGCTTTCAAGTGGTGGGATTATAGGATGTGATACCACATCTGCCTGAATATTGTCTTTTTTACCTGGTCTGTTTTTGTTATTTGATTAGAACATATGGAACATGACAGACAAGGCTCAGTTGTGGGTCAGGTGTTTAACCGTAACTGTGTGGGTGACACACTGCTGTAGTCTGTGGAGGGTCTTGCGCTTCTTGTCTCACTTTATTCGTATTTCCACAGTATGAATAATGGGCATGGTTTTAGCTATTGAAGGCATTGAATTTTATTTTATTTTTGAATTTTCGAGACAGGGTTTCTCCGTAGCCTTTTTGGTTCCCGTCCTGGAACTAGCTCTTGTAGACCAGGCTGGCCTCGAACTCACAGAGATCTGCCTGCCTCTGCCTCCCGAGTGCTGGGATTAAAGGCGTGTGCCACCACCGCCTGGCTAAGACATTGAATTTTAAAATATATTTAGTTATTTGAAGATTTTATATTGGTTTATTTTTGAGAAATGGTGATGATGTTTATTTCTGTTTTACTTTATTTGTATGAGTGTTTTTCCTGCGTGTATGCATATGTACCTTTTGGTGCATGCTTAGTGCCCTTGAAGGTCAGAAGAGGTCATTGGATCCCCTGAAACTGGAGTATAGATTGGTGGGTGCTGAGGATGAAACCTAGGTCCTTTGCAATAGCAGCAAGTGCTCTTTACCACCAAGTCATTCCTTTAACCCTATGTTTGTTTCTATTTATTTGTATGTACCAGTCTTAAAAGTACTGAGTCTTAAAAAAAAGTATTGAATCTTGTCAATAAAACACAACACAGAAATAAGCCAGATGCTGATGCTACTGAAATTCCCCAACAGTCAAAATTATCTGGTTGGTGTCATCATGATTGCTTTAAAATAAGTGATGTGCCAGGTGGTGGTGGCGCACTCCTTTAATACCAACACTTGGGAGACAGAAACAAGCGGATCTTTGTGAGTTCGAGGACAGCCAGGTCTACAAGAGCTAAATCTAGGACAAACAGGGCTGTTACACAGAGAAACCAGAAAACCCTGTCTCAAACCCCCGCCCCCAAAAGTAAATCTGAACACATAAATTGACTTATGTTATTTGTTTATGTTTTATATGATGAACTCAATATGCCCCCCTCCTTTTAGTTTTTTAAGATAGAGTCTCATTGTCTAGCCCAAGTGTTCTTTGAACTCATTCATGATCCTCCCAAATGCTGGGATTATAGGCGTGCGCCCCCAGGGTAAAAGAGTGTTGTGACTGAGTATGGTGGTACAGGCCCCTCTCTGAGTTCAAGGCTAGAGTTCTACATAGAGAGTTAGTTCTAGGATAGCCAGGGCTACATAGAGAAACACTTTCTTTTTCAAAAACCAAACCAACCAACCAACCAACCAACAAATAAACAAAAAGGCTTTAATCTCAGCACTCAGGTGGCAGAGGGAGGTGGATCTCTGTGAGTTTGAGGCCAGCCTCTACAGAGTGAGTTCTGGTACAGCCAGAACTACACTGTGACAAAAGTATTACATCAGAAATGTGTGTTGCTGGGACAATCCTGGGACCCCATGTTCTGGCAGAGCCTCATTGTCTGGGTAGGTATTTGTTTCACACACCCTTAGAGTGGATAGAATGTTAGGTTTTGCTTTAAAGATGGGCAGGGTCCATATATATTAACAGATCCAATGTCCTACTTAGTATTACATTTTTTCATAAGACATTTGTGATAGTTTGAATGAGAATGGCCCCATTGGCTCATATTTGAGTGCTTAGTCTCTAGATAGTAGAAATGTTTAGGAAGGCTTAGGAGGTATGATCTTGCTGGAGAAGATGTGTCACTGGGGTTGAATTTTGAAGTTTCAAAAGCCCAAATTAGGGCTGGAGAGATGGCTCAGAGGTTAAGAGCATTGCCTGCTCTTCCAAAGGTCCTGAGTTCAATTCCCAGCAACCACATGGTGGCTCACAACCATCTGTAATGAGCTCTGGTGTCCTCTTCTGGCCTGCAGGCATACACACAGAATATTGTATACATAATAAATAAATAAATATTTAAAAAAAAAAGCCCAAATTAGGCCAAGTCTGTTTCCTCCCTCTCCTCTGCCTGCAATTTGCAGATCAGAGGTGAGTTCCCAGCTACTACTGCAGCCATGATTGTCTGTCTGCTCCCATGCTCCCCACCATGATGGTCATGGACGAATCCACCCAAGTGGATTAGTTTATTGTTTTTACTTTGAAAATGTGATGCCCTATGTGTTCGTGGTGTGTGTGTGTGTGTGTGTGTGTGTGTGTGTGTGTGTGTGTGTGTACACGCATGCATACCAGAATACAGCAGAAAGGTGGGGAAGAAACCACTGGGAGTGAGATCTGGTTATAGAATGCAAGGCCCTAGATTTAGGGCCATATTCTCAAGTCACCATTTCTTAGGAGAGATGTAGACAAGATATAAGAAGGCACTGGCAGTTTGTAAACATTCAATTAGCATTTAGAATTTGAAATATTTTCAAATATTTACATTTTAAGTATTTAAATGTGAGCTGCCAACACTTACATATCTTCCTGTTCTCAAATTTACTGCTGTCTTGAGTCTTCTGTTACTCCTCTACTTCTGTTGAAACTGCCCCTACCCCCACTCCACTTCATCCTGTGTCCTCATGGGAGCCGGGATGATCTCCCTAGCATACAGAGTTGGGCTGAAGATGGCTTGGTGAGGAAAGGCACTTGCTATGCAAGACTGGTGGCCTGAGTTCAGTCCCCAGAGCCCATGTAAAGGTAAAAGGTGAGAACCGCCTCCACAAAGGTGTTCCCTGGCCTCCACATGGCCACAGACATACACAGCACCATCTATTCAAAACAGAGTTGTCTGTGTTGCTCTCCTGTTTACATAGAATTGTCTGTTATTATCCTGTTTAACTTATTTAGATCTTCTCTTTCTTTCCTTTTGTTTTTCTTTTTTCTTTTTTCTTTTTTTCAAGACAGAATTTCTCTATCTAACCCTGACTGTCTTGGAACTTGCTCTGTAGAGAACAGAAGGACCATGAACTCGGAGATCTGCCTGTCTCTGCCTCCTGAGTGCTGGGATTAAAGGTGTACTTCACCTCTGCCCAGCTTCTCCTTGCTTTTTGAAGAAAATTTTTCAGCATAACATTTTTATTTAACTTTATTTTATGTGCACTGGTGTGAAGGTATCAGATCCCCTGGAGCTGGAGTTACAGTTTTGAGCTACCAT